CAACCAACATAAATATCACAAGGTAATGTTGTTGACATAAGCAGTCATCCAGAAGCAGCTGGTCCAATTAGTTTGAACCAGGTACAGCCTTTCTGGATTCCGCTCTGCCAGTGCTGTGGAATGGATACAAAATGTGTGGGGCCAGTCTGGAGCATAGGTGGCCCTGAATCCCCTCTTAAATTCCTCTAAGCCATAGGTTCCCAAAGGTGCTACAGCTTTGGTTCTAACAGCTATAGCACCTTTGAGGACCTATGTAATTGGGAATCTATGTATTCATACGTGTTTATGTTTGTGTGTATTCTAAGTATTTTTACATTCAGAATTCCTTCTCTGTTTCCATATGGGGTTATAACTAAATTTATAAACTCCAGCCATGAACCAAGTTTCATCTTTCCAAAAACATTTCCGGACCACAGATGCTCCATCTTTATTGGCCTCTTCTATCCAATATCCAGGCAGATGGAACTGCTGAGCTGTTATGTGCCGTGTAGTCCAGTGAGACTCTCAAAAGAACTAGCTTTCCCTGCCCAGCTGAGGGGATTATCTACTTGTGTTGCTGCTTGTTATCTCTGCCTTTGTCCTGTAGGCAATCAAAAACCTCCATGTCAGCAGGTCTCTGGGGTCACTGGCTTCTATTAGCATGCAAACACCAACAGCAGCAGCACTGTTGGGAAAAAGAGGATGTGTCTTTAAGAATCATCTTGGAAGACCAAGAACTTTGTATCTTCTGGTCTAATTTCTACATACATGACTATGCTGGGGTGAACTGAGGGAGAAAACATGGGGAAAATGAAGGGTTCCCAAAATCCAGTTTCTCAGATGACATGCACAGGTGTGAAAGGATGCATATAGGAAATAACAGATAGGTGAGTGAGTGTGTTTAATCACTTCTTTGGCTGGCTGCTGAATTTCACCTGAAGCTATCCATGACTGAGACTGTCCATAGGAACGCCCCATACTCTATGTCACTTAAGCTATTCAACACGGGCAAATTTGACAGATTCCATCACATGTGTTTCCCCCCATTTTTTCCAGTTGTATAGTCATTCCTGAGCTCAGAAGATGATCTCTGCCCATCTTCCCCCCTCCCCCCGACACTTCAGAAACACTTCACTGACGAGACATGATGGATGCAGAGAAGAAGTCCTTCTGCATTGTCTGATGGCCTATTATACATAGTTTCCTTTCTGTATTACAAGTGTTTACAGAAATAGGGGAGGGGGACTGTGTAGGATAACATCTTTGGTTGGATCTTATTCTTCATACGTTGCTGAGCAACAAGTCAGGTGCTCACATTGCAATAAGAGATATTGTGCATCAGAAGAGCAACAGCTTAACGCCTTCGCATTGTTCTTCAAAACAATACTTCAGTTTTCCTCTGAAGCGCTTGTCTGAATCCAGAATTATACTCAGAGTTTAGCAACATTTGCAGATTTTGATCAGCCAACATGTCAATGGCTTGAAGTGGCTAAACACAAGCAGGTGGGCTCCCATAAACAGTCAGCATTAAGGGGGGGAAACACCTACCAAGACTATTAAAGAACAAATGAATGAAATTAAAATCAAATCAGAGCAGATCATCTGCAGTGCCACAATGGGTTAAACCCTTGTGCCGGCTGAACTGCTGACCTGAAGGCTGGTGGTTTGAATCTGCGAGATGGGGCGAGCTCCCATCTGTCAGCCCCAGCTTCCCGTATGGGGACATGAGAGAAGCCTCTTACAGGATGGGAACACATCCGGGTGTCCCCTGGGCAACATCTCTTCCCTCACACCAGAAGTGACTTGCAGTATGCTCTCAATTCACTTCTGACATGATAAAAAAAATCCAATTTAGCAGCCACCACTCACTAAAGAGTCTGGGAGTCCTTTTGGACCCTCTGCTGACAATGGAGGCCCAGGTCTCTCTCCGCCGTGAGCGGAGAGAGTCATCTCAAGGTCATCTCAAGGCTGGACTACTGTAACGCCCTCTACATTGGCCTCCCTCTGTCGGTGATCCGGAAGCTCAAGTTGGTACAAAATGCAGCTTCTCGGCTTCTTGCGGGAATTCCGATGAGATGCCACATAACACCAATCTTACTACAGCTGCATTGGTTACCAATTGAGCACCGGATCACTTTCAAAGTGATGGTACTCACCTTTAAGGCCTTGCATGGTCTGTGGCCAATGTACCTGAGGGCTCACCCCCTACCAACCCCAGAGATCCCTCCGTTCTGAGGACCAAGATCTATTGGAAGTCCCCAGTGTCAAGACCTTGCGTCTAACGGCAACCAGACGCAGAGACTTCACAGCAGTGGCGCCATCAGTCTGGAATGCTCTGCCACCTGAAGTTCGTGCCCTGCGGCACTTACCAGCTTTCCGCAGGGCATGTAAGACATACCTGTTCGACAGGCTTTTAATGTTTGATACTGTTGTTTTTAAATTGTTTTAAATTGCTTTTAAACTTTGTTAGATTTTAGCTATTCTTGTAAGCTGCTCCGAGCCCCAGGGGAGTGGCGGCATATAAGTTTAAATAATAAATAAATAAATAATTTTATGGCCAGTAATGTAGTGCCAGGTTAGAGAGGCCTTAACTTGCAATTTCACATCTGTCTCTACATATGCTTTACCACTGTCTCCTTTGGGAGAAGAAAATCCCATACATATGTGTGCATGCACACAGAAAACCAAACAAAGGTACATCAAAAACTGTGGAAAGAAGAAGATCTTCAAAAGGAAAAGGTTTTACCGTAAGCAAGCAATCTGCATTAGCAAAAGAGTATCTCTTACATGAAGGCTCTTCCTTCAGGCATATTTGGAGAAGTTAGGAACATCTGACCGTGAGTAGAATAGGAAATGTTTAGCTAGTTTGCTTTAAGGAATTATGTATCTTTTACCCTTGGCTGAATATGGCGCAAGTTGTTTTGTTATTTTCTAACTTCACCAAGTGTGCCTGAAAGAATGGACTTTATATAAAAGGTATTCTTTTACTAATGTAGATTGCTTGCTAAGAATCAAGTCTTTTTCCTTTAAAGATCTCCTTTTTCCATGCTCTCTATCATGTGCTTGTCATTCAGTGTGTGTGTGTGTGTGCCTGTGTGCTAGAATTTTCCTCTCCTAAGGGAGTGGGGAGGATTAGAGGTGAAAACTGCAAAGTTAAGGCCTCACTAACATGCGGCCAAGTTATTGGTCATAGCGGTTTAAAACCAGAGACAGCAGCTGGACTGGATGATCTCCAAGGGTCTAATCTCGTTCACAACGCCAAATAAAACCCTTTACACTACAGAGGGTATAAGAAAAGGGGAATGTAAAGAGAATCTCCATTCTCATTTTGTGATACACACAATGTGTCAAGAAGAATTGCATTAACTAACATTAATTCCAGCTTGTGACGGCGCAACCTGTGTGTAGAACTTTAAAGTGCAAAGGTTTAAAATGTATAACATGCCCAAACGTGCCTAGTTTGTAAATGTATAGTTGGATTAATTGGTTATTTATAGCTGTCAATCAATGTTGTTTGCACCAGTTATATTGCTTCCTCAGCTCAATTGCTTGGCTCCACCTCTTCCTGGAGGAGGGCAGAGCTTTTCCTTTTCCATTCTACCATCAAACTTTCTATCAGATAGATGTGAGAAAGAGACTTGGCTCTAAAGCCCTTAATTAAGTTACCTCTCTTCACCAATTCTAAGATTTTTACCTTTGGGACTCATACTTCATGCCCAGATCGCCCTGGACAATGTTGAGGAGACCCAAGCGCCTTCAAACCGGTCCTTTGGCATCAAAAGGAAGACTCTGTGCCTTCAACATAGGCCATTGGACTGGGGGTTGTGTTTGTTCCGACTTTCACAGCCATTGAGAAAAGAGGGAACAGGAAAAGCTTCTCAGCTGCGAAATCTCCTTGGACCCAAGACAACCAGAGACTGTAATGTATATTTCCTTTACCCCCTTTGAAACTTCCAGCTTATTGCCTTAAAGGGATAACTCTTTGTGAACAATAAAACCTATTTTGAGTTATCTACAGTGTTTTGGTCCTTGGGAGTTCCAGTTCTCTAAAGGAAGGCAAGAAGCAATCCCCTGGGGGAAAGATGTCACGTCTATGTCTCTTTCACTAAGAGTTATAGCCCCCAGGCGTGACGGCATACAGCTCCTGATCTCTGACTCAATGATTCCCAGGCATTTGGCCAAAGATATGAACATGCCCCACAACATTTTGAAGATGTAAATCATGACACATGTGGTCAAGCAATATCATAGTGTAGTCAAGGTGACAAGCATTAGTACTATAATGAGGAGAGACACTCAAGCTAGGAGAAGCTGCAGTAGTTTACTTTTTTCTGAGCCTTCTGGGAAATACAAGATTTCATCCCCTCTTCTCCACTCCCTCATCCTGAGTTAACAGAGTGCAAATTTTGAAGTCAGTTTGCTGAAATTGCATTTATTTCTCCCATCAAAGCTCCTTAAGGAAAAGCTCTATGGTCCTTAGCCCCCTTTCCCCATCCCTCAATCACTATGAATATACAAATTCCAAAATCTGAAAAATATCTGAAATCTGAAAAGTCTGGTCTGTAATAAGGGGGACTGAAACTGTAATAATAACAACAATATACTAGCCTTATTCTCACAATCAAGACCCATGTCCAAGGCTCACAATTGGATGAAATTGCCAAAACTTAGTGTTATACAAGAATGTCCAAAATGGCTTTTCCATCAAAGGTATGTCCTGCCCCCGTCCTCCAATTCCCACCACAATAAGGTGTTGAAAGGCCTCCACTGTTGTATTTTGCTGTTGTCAAATTTCCTGCCATCACTGGGAAATGAAATAATGAAAACAAAGAGATCATAGTACATTTCTAAGCCCTCCTATATCCTGCCAAAATCTGCATCTCCCAGGGGCTCAAGCCTTAGAAAGTTGCTAAGCAATGCTATTTTCTGAAACATAAAACATCACAGGCTGTAATGATCCATAATCATCCTTTGACTAATAATAATCACAAATAACAGAAGAGAGGTACACAGTTACTCACTGGTGGTGTTTCCTGTCATCTGTATGATACATTTGGAGTCCTTGCCCATTTCTCGGGAGTTGAAAGGGCGCACCCGGACGGCCACCTTGACAGACGCTCCTGCCATTCTGGCCGTCTACAAATTTCTCTCCTCCTGGGAAGATTCCACTCCTGAAAATTCCCTGCAAGAAAGGAAAGAGAGATGGTGGCAAAGTCTCTTTTTAGGCCAGGCAAGGCCACAGAGATTGTTGATAATGTCCTTGTAGGAGAGGCTACGAAGTAATACACAATGACCACACTCAAGCTGTACTACTTGGTGTTAAAGGACACTCCATGATAAGCACGTAGCAAACAACTGTACGTTGCATTCTTATTTTTTACACAGAAGTAAATGCAATTTAAACATGATGCATTGCAAACCACTATACAAGGCCAGCTGAGTTGTATACCTTTACACCCCAGTTTGAATTTTATTTTAAGTCTATAGGACACATTTATCAAACTTAAGGCCTGTGGGTCAAATCCGGCCCTCCGTGTCTTTTTATGTGGCCTTCCAGATGCTGGACTACAACTCCTGTATTTCTCATCATTAGACATCATGACTAGAACTGATGAGAGCTGTGATACAGTAACATCTGGAAGACTGCAGTTTGTTTTCTTTAGGCAGGATAGTGAAGCTTGAATTTAGACACAAAGCTTGTGGATAAAAAGTTTGAGTTTAGAATGTCCTTCAGTCTTTCCCCAGCTTCAAAACCACAAGTGCTGTTGGGTTGTAATTTCCATTATTCCCAGTCCACAAGGTGAATAATCAAAAGTTTTATTTATTTTTATTTATTGTATCAGAAGCGAACCAGGGGTACAGTTGTAATGTATTTTTAAAACACAACGTTTAAAAAACCAAGGCAGTGACATCTCCGGCCCATCCCCTGTTCGGATGTCAGCCAGCATGCCAATGCCTTAAATCAAGAAATAGTTTTCTAAGATCTGCAGAGATACTCGCAGGAACACTTCAGCAAGTGAGAGTCCAAAAGTGGCAGGCTAAAACCTGGAACCTCCACCCAAGACTGATACTGAATGAGAGACTCCCCCTGGGCTCACAGAAGACTGGGCAACTTGAAAGGTGCTGAACAGACTGCACTCTGGCACCACAATGTGGAGAAGAGCAAACCACGGACCACCCATTACAATGTAGCCTGAGCCCTGCATCATGCACAGCGGAGGACCTTCTTATATCAACACCAGAGGCACTCCAAGTGGCCAGCTACTGGTCAAAGGAAATGATTAAAAGTGTTGTTCAATAACAACTGAGGAACCAACTAAACTAAAGAGCTCCCACGACCATATAAAATTGGTGCTCTGTATCCACCTGTTGTGGGAGGTTATTGTAGGCTTTTAAAAACAGTTTGGGATAGGTTTAAGCCTCATCTATGTTAGGTCCATTCTTACATGCTCCCTTCTGAGTAAAAACATAATTTTCAGCTGCATCCTCTGCATCATGGCAGGTAGTTTAACCCTTAAAAACAAAACCACCCATCCGTCACCTCTGACTTTACCATCTTACAGAGAAGGATCTTAAAAATGGATCTGTAGCTAAGAAGATGACAAAATGTTCTAAGGGATTGTATCTGTGCTGGCACGGCAGTGCCAGGAGATATGAATTTCTTTTTCTTGCACTGCTAGTTTGTATGAATTTATTTAGCCACGCATTTTGCAATCAAGTAGCTTCCCCAGGTTGCAGTCATAGGGCCAGCAACCTGGCTGTCATCGTTAGAGTCTTTAGACCCGCCCCTTTCCCCAGGGTTTTGGAGACAAAGGAGGACTTTTGTTCAGTCTCACTGTTTGAAGCCTAACAGCAGAACGTGTGGGTTTCTCTATCCCACCTGCACAAAGGCTTCACTATTCATAGCTCTGCTGGGGGAATATAGGGATAGTCCCACAGCTTTTGCTGGGGGAATACAGCCAGCCTTTGCTGGGGCGTCCCGTTGGGCATACAGAAGGCACGTCCTGTAAACAGACATTATTTCAGGCACAGCGTGCGACAGCACAGTATCAGACAACATTTTCATGTTGTGAATCTTCTCAAAAACCTAAAGCATATGAAGGAAATGAAAGACTTTTAGTTCTCACAGTGAAAATTATACCAGTAGTGCCAATTCAGTGTCTTCCTTCTCCAGCTTTCCCCATCCCACCTCACTCCATTCCCTACCTGCAGTCCCCAGGACATTTTAAACCCAGGACAAATTATCCTATTTGCATTCACCCAGAAAGCAAGTCTCTCTGTATCATCACTGGCATCCTATACTTTATAAATTGCTTCTGATGCTTTCATTTTTGATTTTTTTAAAGACATAATCTAATTAACTAGCTCTCCAGCCCTGATCATATGCAGACATACATGTATACAGACATATATGCAGACCTGTATGGTATGTATTTATTATTTATTTACAGTATTTATACCCTGCCCTTCTCACCCCGAAGGGGACTCAGAGTGGCTTACAGAACACACATATGGCAATCATTAAATACCGATTATACATTTAACAAGGACAAACAACACAAACAGAGGCAATGGCAGTTTTTCCCGTCTTATTTCCGGCATCTCAGAAATAAGACGGGGAAAATTGTCGCTCCATCTTCCATGCTGAGGAGCTTTCCTCAGATTGATGTCCTTAAAGGGTGTCTTTATTACCTCCCTGCTAAAAGTGGTACCTACTTTATCTACTAGCATTTCTGCTTTTGACCTGCTAGGTGGGCAGGTGAGCTGGGGCTAATGGCGGGTGCTCACCGTGATGTGAGCTTGAACTGCTGACCTTTCGATTGGCAGGATTTTTCTGGTTTAGCCTGCTGTGCTAAGATCGGTATGTAATATAAATGTATTACCATATTTACTTGAATGTAATACACACCTTCTTTTTTTTACTAAATTGCTTAGCCAAAATGGAGGTGCACATTACATACAATGGTGCATTACAATTGTGTGTCGAAACCTTGCAAGCTCGCCAGCCTTGTCCTGAATGAAGCCAGCTGAGAAGTCACATCTTTCCACCAAACCAGGGCTGGCAAGTTCACCAGTCTCAGCATGGGGAGGGGGGCACCACTTCCCTCCTCAGTCCTGGCATTTTCCTCCTCCTCCAGCTAACCCTGACCCTAACCCTAACCCTAACCCCTCCTCTCTTCCCAGCCAGCTTCTCCCTTGGTTCTCATCAGCTGAAAGGAAAAAGAGAAATAGCCACCCCCACCCCAAACCCCAGCCAAAGCTGCAAGCGGAAGGGCATCGCTTCTGTTTGCACCTACCTGTGAAATCTATTTTTTGATGTGAACATTACAATGGAAGTGAACATTACAATTGATAGCACACTACACTTGAGTAAATACGGGTATATCTTTACATATGCATAGAGACACAAATTCACACATGCATAAACATTCATCCATACAAATACCAACTTCCACATTTTAAATTTTCTTATTTGTTTTACCTTTTAAAACATCTTTTCCCCCAATATGTGGAGGAAGACAACTATGAAAATAATATTTTGAAAAGCTATAAATGTTTAAATGGATTATTTTATTAAAAACTGCACTCATTTATATGAGTTTTAAATCTAGATAAAGGTTTTCCCCTGACATTATATCCTGAGGATTGGTGCTCTTCTTCATTTTTAACCTGAAGAGCTGGCGTTGTCCATAGACACCTCCAAGGTCATGTGGCCAGCATGACTGCATGGAGCACCCTTACCTTCCCACCGGAGCTGACAGCAAGAGTTCATGCCGCTCCCTGGATTCAAACCTGCGACCTTTTGGTAAACAAGTTTAGGAGCTCAGTGGTTTAACCCACTGCACCACTGGATTTATATGAGTTTTAAATCTAGGTAAAGGTTTTAAATCTCTTTTCATTTGTCTACATCAGGAGCACCTTCATTGATCTACCTGACTACAAGAATGAAATGAACTAAACACATTTAGTCCATTATGATAACGGATCTGTATAACAGTGCCCTAAAACTCTTGAATGGCATCACGTTGGGCATTTTGGCATATAGATCAATTTTGGACAGTCCAAGAAGCAAAAGGCCCATCCGAAAGCATTCGTAGATCAAGTTAATTTAGCAATGATTACTTGACAAGATTTTCCTTAATCTGTGACACTGTTTTGTCAATGCCCATGTGACTCACTTTTGGGGGCAGAATTTAAGCATTCGATGGTTGTTCATTACCCAGCAGGGAACAAATGACAACTAGAAAGGACCCAGAAGCCCCTGAAAAGATGTCTTTGGAGAGCCGCCGCTTTCAGCCTACAATTGGACTGATGAGCAAGAACACAAAGTTGTTTTTAGCATAAGCTTTGAAGAAGACAGTGTGGGAATAACTGTCACACCAGAAGGAATCTGAACATCTATTTTCCACTAAGGAGTTCTTTTAGTAAAAATACTTATCCAGCAATTCAATCCTTGGAAATCTCCTCAATTTCATAGTTCAGTGCATAACCAGTGTATTTCACAGAACTGTGCAAAAGAGAGGGGTAAATTTTAACTGATCCAGCATCAACTGCAAGGGACATCATATCCCTCTTCATGCTTTCCTTCTTGGCATTCTCCTCTTTCTAAAACTGATATAAAATCGCATCCGCCTGGCTACCCTGCACATCTGAGTAACAAAGCTAAGCCTCAAGGGCTCACCTCCAGGTTTGTTTTCAGTATAAATAATTCAGCGACCTAAGTGCAGCACTCGGCTCAGCCACAGTCCTCAACCATATTCAGGATCTTTTGTTTACTGATGAAAGATAGGATGGAAACACAGGAAAAAAGGATGAAGGATTGTAACAGAATGACAACTCAAAGGATGATTCTAATACAAGTCTTCAGTATTCTCCGTAAATTGGCTTTTTCTGTTTAAAGCTTAGAAAAGTTACTTTATGGCGGGCAGTTCTCAGACTTTTGTATGTCTTTGGAAAATGAGCTAATAGGAATTTACTGGTGTCAGAAAGACAATGACTGGAATGGCGACTCAGTGGACGAGACTGTTTTATTGTTTTAATGATTGTTTTATTGCTTGTGGATGCACTGTTTTTAACTTGATTTATGTCTAATGGTAGTGTATAATTGTAATTGTTGTACTGGCCTTGAATTTTGCCATTACTTATGTGTAACCCGCTTTGAGTCCCCCTCGGGGTGAGAAA